GGTGCTTCCAGGAATAAGTTCACAGCTAAACAACCCCCATAATTAGAGAACGCAGCTGAGCCATCTGAAGGAGATCATGGAACTGTATCAGCAAATCAGCTAAGAATTGCACAGAGCTTATAAGCATTTACTCGGAAGTAAGTCTCTTTCAGCATGACAACAGAGACTGTGACATTTCTGTACAGATACAGTCAATAAATAGGGTTTTTCTACCCAGATAAATATGCATTCTTATCTAGTTGCATGAATCCAAGCTAGTGTTAATGCAACTGTGAATCTGATGCTACGGGGCTATTTTAGCAATCTCCCCCTCCTTTTGAGTGTTCGTCATTATTCTATAATGTTGATATTTTAAACCCTAATTTTAAGTTTTAATTTCAGATGTTAATTTTTACACATTGGTTTATTTATCGGTTATATTCTATTGGACATACTGCCCAGAGCTCCTCTTTGAGGTAAATGGGTGATTTAGAAATATGAAATATAAACAAACAAATCCATGTTTAGGTTTAGCTAAAGACTGGTGGGAAATTTAAATGCATGAAAGCCCAGGTCCACTTAACTGAAGGTTCAGCTAAGCTGATTTATTGCTACAGGCCTGAGCACAGGAATCTCCTCAGCCAATGGTCAACACCTACTTTGAATTACATAAGATTTAACAGCACTCAAGAGGAGTGGGACCTAGATCACTTAGCGATTCTAGGCTGATGCCTCCTTTCACTCCACCCCAGGTCCTGCCATCCTTTTTCCTGCACACTTTCCCCCTTCTCTGGAGTAATGCAGAGATTTGCAGTCAAACAAACAAAAAAGCTGGCTGGTTTTGGGGCTAAGCCACCCCGTAGAGGTGGTGAAGAAGGGGGAGACTGCCTGCAGGGTTGAGGAGAGCCGCATCTCTCCTCCTCAGCTGGCCATACTCCCTTTCCCGAAGGCGGTTGCAGCGGTGGTCAGATATGGCCACCTCAAAGAAGAACTCAACCGGAAAAGAATGTGCAGGAGGAAGATAAGAAAAGAAAGTTTTGGTTGACCGGGTTAAACTGCAAAAGCAACAACTAAGGTACCCTGGAATTTAAACTAAAAAAAAGTAACATTGTTCCCAAAGAAGAAGGGAAAGGATTTGTTTTTTCTTCTTCTCTCCCTTTCCCTATACTGTCAGCTAAGAGATTTAAATAAGAAATTGGAAAAAAAATCCACTTTGACATCAATAGACATTTAAGCTGAAAATAAAATGTCAAAGGGATAGTAAAGATTTCTGGATACTTAAAAGCTTTTAAAAGCAGGAAAGGAGAGAAAAAGAATAAAAGGGCAGGATCTGGAAAAAAGGGATTTGAAAAATCTGAAAAAATTAAAAGGAATTTACAGTAAAACCTCAACAAGACTTCTAAAATATACATTTTAACTGAAACTTGGCCACAAAATAGTAGAACCCCAGGAAGAGAAAGTGGAAAAAAGAAGCATGACGAAACAGCTTGGGAGTATTTGGATTATTTGTTGATCTCTGGATTTTTGGTTATTGCATTTGAATGACTAAAATCAATCGGGTGGTTATTTAAAAGTGTTTAAAATGGCACTACTTTTAGATGAACTGAAAATGGAACTTAAAAAGTACAAAAAAGATGCACAAGAAGGGAGAGGTTCTTTTGGCTTCGTATTTCAATTCTTAGAAATGGAGATCTGGAATTATGAGAAACAACAGGAAATGCCTGCAGAACAAGAAGACTGGGACAAAGAAGAAGCCATCTTTAATGAGCAAGTAATTTTATGTGGGGGGAAAAAAGGAAAGGGGGGGAAAGAGAATTAAAAGTTTAAGATTTGAAAAAACAACCAAGAAAAGGAATAATAACTTGAAAAATAAGTATAATATTAGAAAGCAACAGAAGAGGGGAATACAGAAGAGAGAATTAGAATTAGAGAGACAAGGGGGTAAAAAGGGGAGGGAGAAGAAGAGAGGGAAAAGAAGCTATAAAGGACAGAAACAAGATATGGAGAAACAGGGCCTATTTAGAGATAATGGGTGAAAATTTAATTGAAAAAGGGATTCTGCAAAGGTACATAAGATAGTATTGTTATATTAGAAATAGAAATAATTTTAGAAAATATGAAACAATGTATGATTAAAATGATGGATAAAATAGTTATTCTAATCCAGTGAAATGTTTGTTAATAAATAAATGAAATAAAATGAATGAGAGAATTGAATTAGGAAAGGATGGGAACATTTTAATTATTTAATGCTTTATAAAATATAAGGGAAGAGAAATAGGGGGGAAAAAATTAATTACGGAAAACTTATAAGTGTTCCCAAGGAAGTATGATATTTAATTGAAAAGAAATGTTAAAGATGTTAAGACTTTAATGAACATTAATGATAGAACTGAATTGGAATGGAATGAGTGTTTTTAATTACATATATTTATAATCACTTTTTAAGAATATAGTGTACATTTTAAGAATGCACCAAGCAGAATTCGATTGGAAGTTATGTATTATATTGAATGTTATAACCTCAAGGTATATATTGAAGCTTAAATAAGAGTTGAATGGATAAAATTAAAAGATATAAAGGTGTCATACTCCAATTAGTAACTACAGGAGAAAATTTGTTTAATGAGAAAAGAAAATATGAAATTGAAACAGGACAGACAAAAGTATAAATATAATGATTTGAATTGAGATGAGATAATTAAAATAAAATTGAGAAAATTAAGAGAGAAGAAAAACTATGTAGAAAATGTAAAACAGTAATAAGATATGGAATAGAACATAAAAGTGAGCATGAAATTGAGTTTGTGTCTGTATGAAGAAGTGTAACCCGGGACCATGCTATTTTCAAAAAAAGATGTTTTATTTGTATTATGGTTTTTTTTTTTGTGAAAACCCAAATAAAATTTTCAAAAAAATAAAAATAAAAAAATAAAAAAAAATACTGGGAGATAGTGGTGAAACAAACAGGTGCCATTCTTAATTTAGAAAATTAATTAATTAATACCTCCGTCTGCTGCCATAGGGAAGTTTGAAAGAGAAGGTGAGGGAAGGCCTGTCACTTGGCTAGGAATAATATTCTGCCAGCAGGCCTGAGGAACCCAGAGCGGGATGGAGCCCATTAAATGGCTCCTGTGATCTGCTGTCACTGAAGTGGGAGGTGATTTTATTATATTAATTTATTTGATTCTTCTGATTAGCTTTACTGTTTTAAGTGTGATTTTATATTCTGTAAGCCGCCTTGAGTCGCCGTGGCGAACAGGTGGCAATATAAATCCAATAAATAAACAAACAAACAAACAAACAAATAAATAAATATACTAGATATCATGATTCTTCTAATTTGAATGTATGCCAAATATCAGTTTTCTGTTTTTGGACATTCCCATGGAAAGCTAAAACTTTAGAGCAGTGGTAGGATTCAAATTTTTTTACTACCGGTTCTGTGGGTGTGGCTTGGTGGGTGTGGCAGGGGAAGGATACTGTAAAATCTCCATTCCTTTCCACTCCTGGGGGAAGGTTACTGCAAAATTCCCGTTCCCTCCCCACCCCACTAACCTGCTTTCCAGCTCCGTTCTCCTGTGCAGGGCAACAAAAGAAGACCCAGCCAATCAGCTGTGACTCAATGGGAGGCAGAGAATAGATGGGGGTGGGGCCAGTCAGAGGCGGGATTTGCCAGTTCTCCAAACTACTCAAAATTTCTGCTATCGATACTCCAGAACTGGTCAGAACCTGCTGAATACCATCTCTGGTGCTTTAGAGCGAGGGTGGGCAACCATGGGAATTTTACGACATGTGGAGTTCAAGTTCCAGAATTCCTGAGCCAGCAAAGGTCCCCTCGTTTCAACCCTGAGCTACAAATATTCTTTTTATCGAAACTACAGTATCCAATAAATAATGTAAGGTGCACCGATTAGAACAGAAATGGCAAAAAAATGGAATTTGTCCATGACCCCTTCAGAAAATATGATAATTAATAAGATACATGAATGTGCTGAAATGGATAGACTAACTAAACTGTTAAAAGATAGGCAAGACAGTGAATATTACAAAACTTGGGATATCTGGTACGACTGGCTAAAGAAAAGGTGATATTTGATGATCTGGTAACATTTTGGAAAATAAGGGTGACGTGTACATAAATGTAAATAACTATATGTATGCATATATAGAGTTTAAAATGACGAAGCAGTTATTATGACAATGTATAACACGCTATCAGAAGGAAAGTACAAGTGTATCTATTGCTCAAACAACGCTGCAAAATGTATATATATGTTTTTAATTTTATAAATGTTGAATAAACATATATATAAAAAAGAACAGGGATGTCAAACTTGATTTCATTGAGGGCCACCATCAGGGTTGTGTTTGACCTTGGGGGGCTGGCGGGGGACGTGTCCAGATCGATGTCACTTGTTGTTGGCGGCACCTGTGGTGGCGTGGATGGGGCTGGGGGGGATACATTAATGCCCCGAGCTCCATTTTAGGCTGCGATGGTCTCCTTCAGCCCTGTGCCAGCCTGGGAGGACCACACATGCCCCTTCCAAGCTCCATTTTTGCTGGCAGAGGCACTGTGGACCGGTCCTTCGCTGTTTCCAGGGCAGCTCCGTGGGCCAGATTTAAACACCCCATGGGCCAGATGTAAACACCCCGTGGGCCAGATGTAA